CAAAGCGACAATATCCTCCTTCAACAAAACCATCTTAACTTAATTATGTCTCCCACAACTTCCATATAATTTGCTGCAATTTCTCTTTTATCACCAATGCTGCTCTGACGAATGCTTACCTCTCAGAGTTAAATCATTGAAAAATTATTTCATCTGCAAGATAAAGATCACTGAAAACCACCTAAAAATATACAATAAGCTTGTAACTTGTTGATGAAGTATTTACCTGTACCGATATTTGAAATAAAAGCAACTCGGGCAATTATAGCCACTAAATGTAAGTATTATAAGAGCAAGTTATATTCACAGGCAGGTGGGGAGAAAAACTTGTCGAGTCATTGATTCTAGGAATAGTCAACAAAATGTTCAGACAATGTTTATACGAGCGAGACAGGTGTGACACAACCCTCCAACACTTCAATGATTATTTCATCAACATTTGCAGGAAGCTTACGGGACACATTCCTGACCCACACGAGGAGTCTGAAACTTACAAATCTTGCAGTGAAATGAAGTGTTCTTGTCTACTGTCACGGAAAGCCTGTTGACAGATGCCATAAAGCCATTCAACTTTCATTATATATTATCGAAATGTATCTCCCGGGTACTTCAAAAGTTCTGTTCCTCTACAATGTTAAGCTATGTTAGCGTTATCAATATTATACACAATAGATTTGTAATTTTCTGACTAAGAAAACTTTTTCAATTCATTTCTTCTTTACAATCTCACCCAGACCAACACCTCCCACACCGTTACTCTCTAATACACCAACCCACCCTACAACCTCATACTACCACCCTCTTTATACACTCTAATACCTCCAACCTCCCTACACCCACCACACCCTACCTTACACCCCCGCGCACTCCCACTCTCCTTACACCCCCATCCTCGTTACACCCACCAGGTCCTACCTTACACCCACGCGCACTCCCACCCTCGTTACACCCCCAACCTCCCTACACCCACCACACCCTACCTTACACTCCCGCGCACTCCCACCCTCGTTACACCCCCATCCTCTTTACACCCAGACACACTCCCACCCTCCTTACACCCCCATACACTCCCACCCTACACGTGTATACCCTGTCTGCTACTATCTACCTACTTCCTACTTAACGCCAACAGGGCTCCACTTGGCCTCCCGCGGGACCAACACTCCGCCAGCAATTTTCCGCACTGCTCCACACCCGACGCTGCCTCCCTCCACAAAGCACAGGGTGCAGTTAAGACCCGACAAAAACATGCCTTTAATGACTTGTTTACTTCAAACACGTCATTGTGGCAGCGTTCACCTTCCTCGAGTTTGTGTACATTTGCACGTATTAAATGGTAGATGCGGGGGGGTTCTTTAACACCCTTATGTAATTTACTAAAAAAGCAAGTTCTGGCTTTTCCGCTCATTGTAGGTTACGGTCGACTTAAAAAAAATAATTTTCGATGTGTATATAGGGGGCGTGTGTGATGGTATTATTATTAGTACATAAATTCATAAATTCAAATGAGATGACAGGTGAAAGTGGGGTCCATAGGCCTGACGGGCGGTGTGTAAACTATAGCAGTTCTCTCTCTCTCTCTCTCTCTCTCTCTCTCTCTCTGCATATAATAATGGTTGCCCCTCGTATAACACACACGGTGCTCTGAATTACATACAATAAATTGCAGGGTGTATTGCTTCTAAGTACCTAGGGGTACTTGTAAGCCCGGACCTACGGCCTAGAAAACAGTGCGTTAATGTTCGAAATAAGGCAAACAGAGGATTGGGTTTTATATCTAGAAGTGTAAGTAATAAGAGTGCAGAGGTCTTATTGCAACTATATCTTGGGCTAGTCAGGCCGCACCTCGATTATGCGGTTCAGTTCTGGTGCCCCTATTATAGAATGGATATAAATTCACTAGAGTCGGTGCAGCGAAGAATGACAAAAATGATTCCGGGGCTTAGAAACCTTCCATATCAGGATAGGTTAAAGAAACTTAACTTGCATTCCCTAGAAAGACGAAGAGTGCGGGGAGATATGATAGAAGTATTTAAGTGGGTGCAAGGAATCAATAAAGGGGATATAGATAAAGTTCTTATAATATCCGAGCAGGATAGGACTCGGAGCAACGGATTCAAGTTGGATAAGTTTAGGTTTAGGAGGGAGATAGGAAGAAACTGGTTCACAAATAGGGTGGTGGACGAGTGGAACAAGCTTAGCAACTTTGTAGTAAGTGCGGGAACTCTGGAAAGTTTCAAAAGGAGGCTAGATAGATTCATGGATGATAGAGAGTGGTAGTAACTCTCGACAGGAGCTGCCATGCACAGGCCAACCGGCCTATTGCAGACTCCTTATTTTCTTATGTTTTTATGTTCTAACGCGTTTAGTTTCCTAGTTACAGCACCTGAAAGAGGTTGAGGTAATGATAGTGAGGCATAAATTTTTGTGTAATTCTATGCACATAATTCTACACAATGTGATAGGGAGGCAGATGGAGGGAATTTTGAACATCTACTGTAATAACGCAACTGTAACACATTGTGTAGTTATGTGCATAAAATTACATAAAAAATCTACGGCTATTTCACTCCAATCTCACTATATTAACACACACACACACACACACACAGGATGGAGGAGAGGGTGAGAGAGACAGTACCAACAAAAAATGAACCAGGAAGAAGGAAAATCCAGGGGTACCACAGAAGACAGAGTGGAGGAGTGGACGAGGAGAACCTTGGCACGAAGACAAGAACGTCTCTTGGGACACCTAACTGACAGATGCTCACAAGAAGAAGGAGAGGAGAGAAGGGTAGAAGGAGGAGAGAAGGGTAGAAGGAGGAGAGGAGGGTAGAAGGAGGAGAGGAGGGTAGAAGAAGTACACCTCGGGATTTACAGGAGAGACTGGTCAAGACATACATAATGAGATAGGGAGGAATTACAGGTGTTGAGAATAATGTACACAGCCACCCCGCCAACACCAACACACACACACACACACATACATACACACACACACACACACTTCCCACATACAAAAAAGGACGATAATTACATTTTCCAGCTGTCAGTTACACTAATTATAAATAATTAATGAAGTGGACCATTATCACCGTCTGAATAGTTACTGGTGTGAGGACCAGAGTGTTTGTCCCCTCTACTTACACCTCACCACACTTTATTACCTGCTGGGAGAGGGGGGGGGGTCTGTAACACCTTCTCTAGCTAACACAAAGAAAATAGAAAAAAACATTAAAAATGTACATAAAGTTTTGAGTAAGAAAACAACAATAAGAAAACAACAATAACATACGACAGAAAAGAAAATAAGAAATAAAGAGAAGGATGAGATAAAAATTATCAATAAGGCCGAAATAACTATTTTTCCCAAACACGACATGAAAAAATATATCACTTGATTCAGAATTAAAGAAACGAAGCGAATTAAAAAGAAAATGCAAATATCTGCGTCATTATTCTGACAGGATTGCACCGCCGCCACCACCACCACCACCCTGTCATGTAGGGTGAAGCCACTGGATATATACTGTATATACTGTACAATACATGATGCCAAGGTATCCAGAGCGCCGCCCAAGCGTCACCACTCTGTAAACTGGCCCGTAAACCCCCGCATTCAGGAAATGGGTTCAAAGGCGGAGTTTTCGCAGTTTTGTAATATACATGAAAGTACAAGTATAATTTTTATGTTAAAATGTCTTCTTTATAGTATTTTGCAGTGATGAATTTATAATAATAATAATAATAATAATAATAATAATAATAATAATAATAATAATAATAAAAATAATAATGATAATTGTAATAATAATAATAATAATAATAATAATAATAATAATAACAATGCATCTTCATCATCTGTTCAGCTAACCCTAATACGTATTAACAACACGTCATATAATCATCTTATCTTTGTATGCTGACAACAGTAATTACTGAAGTGTGAACTACACAATGCACCAGCTACATAAAACTTAACCCACATAAACATATGCACGCAGTCATACATACAGTACATACACGTCCGCGCCCATTCATCCGTTAAAACACACACACACACAGGGAGGAGGGGGTCCGGGAGTTGAGAACCATCTCGTCCCACCTGGTTGGTTCAACGAGGGAGGACGCACGTACTCACCTTAGTTGCCGGGCCCCTGGAGGTGTTCCCAGGATCCATGCCTACAGGTAGCACCTCTAGGTAGGCACACACTGTGTAACTCACTTCTCTTTGCTGTTACATCAAAATAGTTTTTCCCCGAGACGTCCAACAAACATCAAAGACACGTACCTGAAACACAAGAATGGGCCATTAATGATATATTCACCTCCTGTTTGTCAGGATGTACAACATTAATATTGTATTATGTAAAGCTTGTGACAAAACATGACTTGTCTTTGTTGCCGTGGGCGAAAAAAAAATTATCTCCGTGCGTGCTTGCATGTGTGTGTGTGTGTGTGTACATTGTCACACACACACACACACACACACACACACACACACACACACACACACACACACACCTAAATATTTCATACACGTCAAACTTATAACAGGAACTAAAGGAAAATCTACTCACAAACACTGATCGTAAGCTTCAGGTGAATAATTACCAAGATCTTCAAATCATTATTTTACAGAGGCGGCAGCAGGTAAATACTTATTGTTTAGTTCAGTGACTTATGAGGTCATGAAGCCGTCTATTCCGAGTCTCGGTACATCTCCAAGTCATCAGTTTACAGAGCCAAGAACCAAGCATTAATTACACAGGTGTTCCAGTTCAGTATATGCATAGAGCTTTAGGCTATCACTCCACATATAGAGCATAATGTTATCACTCTAGATAGTTAAATAGAGCTCTAAGCCAATCACTGAACAGTTAGCTATACCTCATCTGTCTACCTCTTGACCACGACCTTCCACCTCGAGTACAAGGATGGGAGAGAGTTTACAACTGTGTCCTCTCTCTCTCTCTCTCTCTCTCTCTCTCACACACACACACACACACAGCTCCTCCCTCCATTAGGTATTCTCCCCATGCAATATCCACCCATTAACCGCTGTACATGCCGGCCAGACCTTCAACACAATATCTGGTCTTCCATTATGTGTACTGGGCGTTGTCGACACTTATGAAAATTACACGACCTTTCTCCCAGGAACGTTCGGCTGTTTACAACTGGTCTCTTCCCCTTCCTCGCATCTTTAGACGGACTCACTGAGCAAATGTTTAATATCATCTTCTGTGTTGACCTATCGAGCTTTATTATTCGAGTTTCATGTATCACCGTCCCAGATCACAACCTCCCTATCCCAACTCCAGATTACTAACCCCTATCCGAAATTATTACCCTTATTCCAGATTATAACCCTTATCCCAGATCACTACCCATATCCCAGATTATTACCCTTATCCCAGATCTCTACTCCCTTATCCCAGATTACTACTCCCAAATTACTACCCCCTATCCCAGATCACTACCCCCTATCCCAGATTACTACCCCGTATCCCACCTCACTACCCCCCTATCCCAGATTACTACCCCCTATCCCAGATTACTACCCCTTATCCCAGATTACTACCCCCTATCCCAGATTACTAAACCCCATCCCAGATTACTCCACAATATCCCAGATTAATTACCCCCACACCCGATAATTAATTAAACTCTACTCCTACAAGGCCCTAAAAGGATTAATTCCCTCCCATGGGCCTGGATCAAGAGGAATCACATCAGGAAGACACTACTCGACTGGTAATTCCCAATTCTATCACTTTATTAGAAGAAATATATGTGTACACAGCCGCTTGTTTGTGTATACATGTGAGCGGAAATTTGTGCACGAACGTCCCTAATGTGTGAATGTATGGGTGTATGTTTTTGAATGGAAATTACACACACACACACACACACACACACACACACACACACACACACACACACACACACACACACACACACACACACACACACACACACACACACACACACACACACACACACACACACACACACACACACACACACACACACACACACACACACACACACAGCATATATACCAAACTTGTGTATCAGGTAAATACTGTCAGGCTAAGCGACCCATAACAGTCTTAAGTAAACAACTGGCAGGAATAATATATTTACTCAAACATAATCAATTACCATGAAGAACGACACCCGAGACCTGAAAATAATCGCTTGAATCACACACATTAACACTGACCAGGTATACAGGTACGTGCTCTTCATAACTGTGTACATTAGGGCATGAGAAGCTCCTGCATTCATCACTTACACTGACTTAAGTAACATCCTACTACAAGAAAATTTCGTAAGGAAAGAACACCGAACTTTGTGGCTAATTTTGAAAATATAAAATTAAATTAAATGGTTTGAGAAGATAAAGAGAGAGAGCTTTCATCAATCACTGCCACCATCATCACTATCATCATCACTCCGTTGCTTGATGATGGCGTCACCTTATATGCTTCCAGTCTCGTGCCTGAAGCCTCACCTCTATTATGCACCTCCAATATTTATATTATTATCTACTCATCTAGCAGCCGGTCTTTAAGAGTCTTTTCGTAAACTCACGGGATCCATATCATTCGCTCACCCAACAAGACCAACAATATAGAAGTGCGATATTTCCTTCACAATACAATGCAGTATATCCACCGTGCAGCAGTAACAGTCAGACGGGGAGGGGCAGGACATTTTCCTGGTTACAAATCAGCTGTAAATCCCTTGTGGCTGGTCCACTTGGCTTAATGGTCTCCAAATGGTCAATAACTACGACATAATGAGGGCTCTAATAACTGGCTCTGACTTAAATACCTACTAATAAAAAGTCTGCAACATTAGTAACAGTAATTATTATCTTTCTCTTACGTGTTCACTGTACATAACCGAAAATGTTCACAACTTAAACTATTCCTACTAACAAAGATTTTTTTCCGTTATATATTTACTCCCCATCACATAAATTAACTCTCCCCTTCCATGGTATTGTTATACGGAAAATTATATATATATATATATATATATATATATATATATATATATATATATATATATATATATATATATATATATATATATATATGTACTGTATATGGCGTGTTTGGTGAATCTTCATTATAAACTCATGTATGCAAATTTCTATATACTGAACAAGTAAACATCATTGTGTGGTAAATACCACGAGGGCTTGACATATAACACTACAGTGTAACCTTTCAGACATATCATCCCAAGATTCTCCACAGATAAAATTCCTCCTTCGGTGTTATAAGAAAATTAATAACCTTTTTCCTTCCCTGTCATTATGGACGATGGTTTATACAGCATCATCAGTTTTGGTGTTTGTCCACATATTTGTTTCCTCAGTCGACGAGGTGTTAAAGTTATGTTACAGACGACGCTGTTTTGTGCCACCACCACCCTCACGCCCTCACTCATTTACCCTTTAGCAAAGTCTGCACGTCGACGCAGGTGAGAATAGTACAATGTAAAAAAAGGGTGTATAGAGGGGCATGAAAAGTGTCCCTAATGACAAACCCTTTCAAGGGTAAATAATGAACAACAAACCCTTGCAGATAGAAAGAGTATATTATCATTCTCAAAACCATTACTCTACAGAAGAGTATATAACCATCAGTACATCTAAAACCCTCAGCTTTCAAAGAGGTACATCAAGGTGAAGAGAAGCAGTGATCTTCCTCGCAGAAATGTTTGTACGCAGGTTATCCTCCTCCACCGTCCAGTGACACACACCTTGGCCAAGACAGTCCTCACACGTCTTTCAGTTATACCGTGGATGCTGTAAAGAGCAGTACTACAAACACTATAGGTGGTAGTATCACCATACACAACCTTCACCAACACTGTCACTCTGACGAACTCGTTGTCACTTAAAATATTCCATTTTACGCAAAACAGCTAAAAAATATATTATCTGGATTTCCACCTTCCAGCGCGGTGTTGATTGGTTGCGAAAAAGAAGTCAGCGTACAAACCTGGCGCTCATTGGCTCGATGGGTCACTCGGCATATTCGATATTGATTTTGAAACAGTAGGCCTATATTTTAGCCAGAAGAACACAGACACAGAGTCGATTAAAATCATAATATTAACATGGCTGAGCCAGTTGAGATCCTGAGCTCTATTGAAGGCACCTGATATATACTGTACATTTATCTCAAGGAAGTATTATGTATCATTTAGTATCATCTAGAATAGTTACACATAGCATGGTGGTAATAGGAACATATCAGAATATTACCGCGGTTATCATTTCAATATATATTTTATTTTTTTACATTTATTTACATTTATATTATAAGTATATACATAATTTACAGTGTTTTAAATATTTCCTTATCCTATATATTTCTCTTTCCCGTCTTACTTTATTTTCTCCCCTTCTCATATACAGGTGTACAGTAGAGTTACTTAGGTTAAACATGATCATTAATAATGGGTGGTACACGTTAAGTCATTAAATCATCAACATCATACTTCCTCCTCTTCACCGCTTTGTTTATTATCTGCCATGATGACCCAAGTAGGAGGTGTAATTAATCAGAAATAATTCTCAATGCAAAATAACTCTTTTTAAGCTCATTAATTTGTGTGTCCTGTCGTTAAACTCTTGGGGGATGTAAAGTGGTATCCGGCAACGTTAATGTGGCAATAAAACTAATACTCGGTGTTATACTCCAAGTATTTCACAGGGAAGAATAAACTTACCAGCAGGCGATAATGTGTAAACCAATTGTAACATAAAGGGTATTAAGAGCAACAATATACATTACCATGTCCGAAAATGGGTACTTTACAAATCAAGGGATATTTTAAAGTAAATTCTTAGTGTAAGGATATTAACACACACACACACACACACACACACACACACACACACACACACACACACACACACACACACCAAAACATTAAGAAAAACACTTTCAACATTTTGGGTTCAACTTGGGGTAAGAACCTCAATTATAAAAGGATGAAGAAGATTTCACCACACGAGGCCCAAGATGAGACTGACGCTCCACTGGCCCTAATATTTCATTGGTACCGAGCGGGAGACATCACAATGGCCGGAACAAACACTGTCTCTTTCTACTGATCCTAACTCAAGGTTACACTGTATTCCTTTCCAACTCTGTTCAAACAGTCATGCATCACTCTTACTGCTCATTCATATACCAAGATATAATGATTTTTTTTTTCACATGCAAACTCAAAATGTCCACAAAGATAATATCAAAATCGCTATTGAAAACATCTATCATAAACCTGTCACGTGCCTGTGGCGCTCGGAAACTCGCATAGCGTGAGGCATATGTTCACGCCTCCATTTCACACAAGCTATTAATAATTTGTTAATTGTACTTATTATATTATTATTGTTCTTAGTTACTTAGGTTAATTGTATATTTATGTATGTTATTAATATGCATCATTGTGTTACTCTGTTAAGTCAAGTCAAGAGTAGTATTAATTAATTATATAGATTATTATCTAGCAAATGTCCTGGATCAAGTGATATGAGACGCGCTCCTCCACAGCGTGCCCACTGCCCCACGCTTCCCCAGTAGCGAAAAACCGTGGCATTTGGCAGACGTGTCCATTCTTTCTCTAGCCTCGACCTTTGTCTAGTGCAGGGGTTCTCAACCAGGGGGGAATTCCCCCCAGGGGGGGAATTCAGGTTTTCAGGGGGGGGGGAAACTGATTCAGGAGCAAGAGATATGTCCGATGAGAAATCAATCACAGAATTTTGGCCCTTGATGTGCGATTCCTACCCAAAAGTGGCAGAAAGAGTTATCCGTGCATTGCTTCCGTTTGTGTCGACATATTTTTGTGAGTCAGGCTTTTCAACTCTGTTGCAAATTAAAACGAAGCAACGTAGTAGATTAGAGGTAGAAAATGACCTGCGTTGTGCCCTTTCAAGCACTCCTCCGCGTATCCCAGAATTGGCGAAGAAAAAACAATCACAGGTTTCTCATTGACTGTAATCTTCATCTGAATAAAATTAATTACAAATTTACAATATCCTGGTATTCTATTGAACTTTTTGTTTATTGCATTATGCTTCAGTTTGGTCTGTTAAGTAATTCATTATAAATAAAAAAAAACTATTTTACTTTTATTCAAGTTTTATAAATCCATCAACATTTTCAATTGGCATTTAATTTGTAAAACTCCACTATAAAAATAATCCATGTAAAATTGTAAATGTATATGTACTAATATGGAAAAAATAAAGGATTTTCAGTATTATATGCATATTATTTGGAATGCACTTTTTGAGGCAGACAATCTTGGAAAGGAGGGGGGAATGACATTCTGACATATGGTGAAAGGGGTGCATGGGGCAAACAAGGTTGAGAACCACTGGTCTAGTGCTTTGTCCAGCCTTCTGCAATGCCCTAGTGGTATCAGGTATTAGTGACACGTTTAGTTAGGCCTAGGAAGGGATCCTGGTGGTAAGGAATCTCCTGTTTGGTAGGAAATAACTATTTTGTAGGGATTGTTGTATATATATATATTGTATGTTTATGTAATATAGTTATGTTAAGTAGTATTCGTTTGGTCTAACTCCTTAACGGTATATTTTCACCCTTCCGGCATCACTCTTATTTTAATATACGATCACTTATTCCCTTAAATTCTTGTTTGCTAGTCATTACTCCCTTTAGAACATAAATTGAATTAATTATCTTCCCTTTTGTGAATTACTTACTTCAACTGTTCTTACTTATTCAAATACATTTAGTTGAGTAGGTTTTTATAGGGATAATTATTGCCGTGTTCCCTATTTGTTCCTTTATTTGATAATAACTTGGGGTAGGATTCACTCCCCAGGTATAAAGGATATTGGGATCGCGACAAACCTAAATACTTCATAATATTAGATTCAATTTCAGTTATATTGTTTATAAGTCAATTGGTGAAACGATATTTAAGCACTTAACCGTAGTAACCGTATTCACTTTAATTACACACCTCAAGCGCTGCCACGACGATATGCACTGCCACCACTCACATTAGTTTAGGAGTGTTTGTACATTCCTTGTATCTGTATCATGCCGAGAGGTAGAGAGGAGCGTGCTGGTGAGGGCCGCATACAGGTGGTGATGGATGGAGGCAGAAAATAACAGTGTGATGGAGGGAGGGGTGAGGGCAGGGAGAGAGGGGTGAGAGTGGGGACGGAGGGGTGAGAGTGGGGACGGAGGGGTGAGAGTGGGGACGGAGGGGTGAGGGGAAAGAGGGAGGGGTAACATGAGGGGAGGGTGAAGGGAGATAGGGATAACGGCAGGGTGGGAGGGGTGAGGGAAGGGAGAATAGAGGAAGAACGAGAGGCTGTACCAGGGTAATCATCCCGCCTGCGAACAGAGACAACTGACTCGTGACCCAACACAACACCTACGGAACAACACTTTCAAGCACCACCCGAGGAGAGGTAACGAGTACACTAGAGTGAGGGAGAAGATCGAGGGTGGAGGAAGGCAGAAGATCGAGTGTGGAGGAAGGGAGAAGATCGAGGGTGGAGGAAGGGAGAAGATCGAGGGTGGAGGAAGGGAGAAGATCGAGGGTGGAGGAAGGGAGAAGATCGAGGGCGGGAAGGCAGAGATCGAGGGTGGAGGAAGGGAGAGATCGAGGGGTGGAGGAAGGGAGAAGATCGAGGGTGGAGGAAGGGAGAAGATCGAGGGTGGAGGAAGGGAGAAGATCGAGGGTGGAGGAAGGGAGAATAAAAGACATAAAAGATAAAGCAAGAAAAGAATTAGGAGGGCAAGAAAGAGGATTGTGTAAAAAAAAATAATTTTGAGGAGAGGAAACTGAAAGAGTAAAGAGAGAGAAGAAGAGAGAGACTAATAAAGAAAGTGTGGGAATGGATGGACGAGTGCAAGAAGAGAGATGAAGAGGAGAGGAGTGGAAGGACGGAAAGAAGGCGGGAATAGGAGGAAATTACAGGTAATACAAGAAGACGGAGGAAAAGGGAAAACAAGAAAATGAGAAACGTAAGTCAGTGAGTGAGGACGAAGAGAAAGAAAGAGCTCAGGAAAACAGAAGGAGGAGGAGGAGGAGGAAAAACCAGGATAAATGAAGAGAAGGAGAAGGAAAAATAAGGCTACAGAGACAATGAAGAAGAGGAGAAGGAGGAGGAGGAGGAGGAGGAAGAATGAAAACATGACAAATGAGGAATGCGAATAAGAAGACAAACGAGGAGGAAGAAACAGAGGCAGAGGACGAAGTAAAGGTGGAGAAGAAGGAGGAGTAGAATAGGGACGAGGGGGAGGATAGGGACGAAGAAAAGAAGAAGAGGAATTGGCAGGAGAAAGTGCAACGAAGAGGAGGAGGAGGGTGCAACGAAGAGGAGGAGGAGGAGGATGCAAAGAAGAGGGGAGGAGGATACAAAGAAGAGGAGGAGGATGCAAAGAAGAAGAGGAGGAAGGCGGTGGCAACGTCATCAACTCCCC